GCGGACGATCCACTGGCCTTGGCAGCCTCGCTTGTCGATCGCCTCTTTGGCGCTGGTGGCGGCGGCGGTTGTCGCACAGGCGCTTTGGCCTTTTCTGGTGATGTCTTGGAAGTTGTGGCGCCTTTGGCCTTGGCCTCATTGACGCCCTCGTCAGACCCCAAGATGACAGTTTGTGTAGACTGCGGTGGCTGAGGCGGCTGCCTCCTTGGTGGAGGCCCTTTTGGATTTGGCACTTGCCTTCTCTTGGCCTTTGGTACGGCTTCTCGCGATGCGGCAGATCCTTGCAAGTGAGGTGGTGGTCCAGGTGGTGTCTTCGGCTGAGGCACATCATCAGGCTCTGGTGAAGATTCTGGAGGTGACCTTGGCACTGCTTTGGCGGCAGCTGCAACTCCTGCTTCTGTCAGCCTGAACTGCCTCACCCTCCTTGATTCACCGGACTCTTCATCCACCTCCACCTCTTCCATCTCGTCTGGGCGTTCTTGTCGCCTTCTCACTGGGCCGTACTCAACTCCAGCTGCGGCCCTTGCGGCTTGCGGCGCTGCGTGGAGTTTGCGAGATGGTGTAGTCGATGGTTCGGACTCAGCAGCGTGGTGAATGCTCTCTGTCGCTGTGCGAGTGGCCTCTACTGAAGGCTCTGTGGCAGGCTTTGGCGCTGCGGTGGCAGGCGTCGAATCGACTTCCATCTCAGCTGGGCCAGCTGGCGGCGCTGGCGTGGCTGATGCGTTTGCAGTTGCATCCTCCATGTCAACATCAGTGTCACGCTGCAGTCCTGATCTGCTGGCGGTGGAGTCGCCTGTTCTTGGCTCGTCATCAGTGAACAGATGGATCATCTTTATATTCATCTTCTCGAACCTTCTCTGTTCCCATTTCTTGAAGTCTGTGAATGGGAGAAGGAGATGACCTGATGGCGCTTGCTTCAGCGGATAGGACTCTGTGCCTTCAGGAAGCTTATATCCTGCCTCACAATCATCTCGTATCAAAGGCATCATCTTCTTGCTGAGATCGAGGATGGCGTTGTGCCTCATCAGGCTGCGCAGACCTAGGAGAGCAGGCGTATGGCTTTCCTCCACAAATGGACTCGTGAAGGTTCCCTCATGCGTGGTTCCGTCTGATCGCTCGAGGGCTAATGGGAATACGCAGCCATTGATGCAGGTTTGACTGCCCTTTCCTACCCCTCCAACATGTAGTGGACTGTTACGAGCGAACCGAAGAATCTCCTTGCCAGCTCGATGGAGGAATGGGATAGCCTGCTTCAACCATTCTGAACCTACAAGGTTTCCGTGTGAGCCAGGATCAACGAGGAGACCGCAGCCTTCTGCCAAGGCTGCTGCATGAAAGCTCTCTTCTCTGCGCATTGGCTGCGTCACAGGCCACCAAGCATACGACGGTGCTGCTGCACCCTGATCGGGAGTTTGAAACTCTCCCTCCGAGTTTCCAGCTCATCACCGTGCTCACTTGGCACTGGCGTGGTCACGGCGGCTGCTAGTCTATCGGCAGTTTCTTCCTCTGTCGGGAGGTCGAGTGGCGCACGTGACTGTGATGGTGTTGCTGGAGGTTCAGTTTGCGCTTCGGACCTTGTGGTTGGGATTGCATATACCCATGCGTTGCAATTTGGGCACTGCACTGCATTGCCTTCAGACTCGGCATGCTGCATCATCTCACTGACGCACAGGCTGTGGAACATATGTCCACATTCAATCCTCAAGATCTCTTCACCTTGGTTGAAGGTCTGCTGGCATATGGTGCACTGGTTGCTGAAAGGACGAACTTCATTTCGAGGTTGTGTTTGCGGTCGAGACCTCTCAGCTTGCGCGGACCTTGCTGCATGCACTTCAGCGAAGATGGACACCACTTCTGAGGCTGTAGCTACTGCAACTTGCTCAGGTGTTTGCGGCGCTTGAGGTATTGAAGTTCTAACAGGCTGTTGGAACCACACTGGCGGCTGCGTCGAACTGCTCGATGGTTCATTCGTGTTGCTCGATACACTCTGTTGCGTTGCTGCGGCACGAACGGCTTCTTGGATAGCACTCACTTGTGGAATCACAGGCAGTTGAACTTGCTCATGTTGGACAACTGGCCTTTTCTGGTCATATGGCATGAACCACGAATTGGCGCTGAGTGCTGCATTGACCATGTTGAACTGCTGGTTGTATTGCACTTGCTGGCCTCCTACGTGCCACTGCATCCATGGATCACCGACTTGCATTGGCTGTGGTTGCCATGCTGCATCTTGCGAGCATTCTTGATATCCCTGCGTCCATGGATCCTGCCCATTGACCCACGGATCGTTCTGCTGGTCCGGTGTCAGCTGATAGTTCTGAGGGAATTGTGGGCCTTGGTGTCTCAGTTCCAGGGCCAGTGACATTGGTCCAGCTTGTGCTGGTTGCATCACCTGATTGCTGTGGAGGTGCGCTTGGCTCAGTATTAGACCACCTTGCGTTGTCGGCTTCACTTGGTAGGCCACTGGCGGCGGAAGCCTGCTCGAAGGTTGCGAAGTGCACTGAACTCTCTTGCGCGAACAGGTGTCTATCACCGGCTTGCTGGATCTGACCTGAACTGGACTGACCTTGACCTTCAGGTGAGCCTTGATTGCATCGGGCACGAAGGTGGTACATAGAACCGCAGATTGAGCAACGCATGATCTGGCCCTGCCGACCTTTGGGGTTTATCCTCCGACCAAAACCCCTACCTGAAGTGGGTTTGCTTTTGCCTTTTCCCTTGTAGTAGTGCTCTAGGATTTCAGGGTACGAGTTACGCTGCTTTGGCTTGCTCTTACCTTTACCTTTCCCTTTCCTTCTGAGCACCCTGCGAAGGGCGCGAACAGGCTTGCCTGAGAAGCGTCTCCATCTCTTCTTGGCGCGCTGGTACTCGCCAAAGAGGTATTGATCGGCTTCTTGCTCTGGCAAGTGGGCAAAGTCAGAGGTGTCCGGCTGACCACCTGAGTCGGACGACGTGGCCGAATCGGTGTCAACCTTCAGTGACAGGGTATGCCCACGCATTGGTGGAATCTTGTGTGTTCCATGAACCTGGTGCATGGTTCCAACTACCTGATTGCCATGCATCTTGGCTTGATGCTCCGAACTGCTCAGCATCGTTGACATGGAAATGCTGAGTCTGGCCTTGGCCTTGTCGGAGAGCGCTGGCACGTTCCACGATGTGGCCTAAGCGACGGATGTGGGCACATAGTCTGGTGAACTTGTCGTCTGTGTTCGGAAGTCGGTAGCCGAAGGGTTGTGTCAAGGCTTGGAATGATTGCAGTTGCATGCTCGAAGCAGGAGGAGAGCTGCAGTCTCAGTGGACACTGTTGCTCCACCTCCTTCCTGCCTTGCTCGACTGCGAACGATCTCGAACCTGGTGATGAGTCCATCAATCGACTCACGCGGCCTACGGTGGAACGAAAGGAGCTCTTGCGCAGCTCGGAGGCGAGTCTCATCATCAAGCCACCACCATGGCGGCCTGCTGGCGCGGCTGAAGCTCATTGGAGATGGTCCAAAGTATCAGATCTTGACTCCAGGCTCTGAAGGACTGGGTATGATCATTTGGGTCATAGATCGGTGGCATGCGCATGGACTGTGCTACATTCCCGGGATACATGAGCAGGACTATGCACACAATGGTCAATGGGATGGCCATCACTGCGACATGGACGAGCCGAGTGTTGGTGCGCACTGCATGGGTCGGTGAACCACTGGTCCCTTTGGATGCCACTGCGGGCTCTTGCGCGGACCTTGCCATGGCCTGTGTCACCTCAGTGCCGGACATGGTCGGCGGTTCCGACACTGTTGCAACGGCTTTGCCAACCTCAGGACCTGCGAACGCTTGTGCCTCTTGCGCGAACAACAGCATTGCAAACACAACACGGCTATGGCTAACGCTTGCACTCTTGAAGTCTGCACGAACTCGGCGGCTGTGGCGGACGCAGCCAACTATCACTTGCATCCTTGGTGTGGCCTTGCTGGAGAAGGCATGGATGGCAGTGATCATGGCGGCAACAGCGAACAGCCATTGAAGTTCTGGGCACATGATGCATTCCTTGTGCAGCTGAAGCGAGTGAGTCACGGCGGCGGCCGTCATGAAAGCTGTCGAACTGCTTGCACTCTTGGCCTGAGCGGCAATCATGTGGACATGGCGAAAGGCATTGCAAATGGTTGTTGTGATGGATGTGGCGTTGGTAGTTCTTGTGGCATCGATGGATGTGGTGTTGGAGGTATTGGCAATCGGCGCGAAAAGACAAGGACAATTCCCGTCATCACTGACTGGCGTCAGGATGGTTGTCGTGGCGGTGCACGGAAGACAAAGACTGACCGAGTGCGGAAAGAACACAAGACAAGGACAGACCGAACCGTCTCCGGGGGCATCGCCTGGACACGATGCATGAGCCGGGACGCGTGGTGGCGAAAACGGGACAGAAAGACAAGGACACGAACCTAAGCGATCGGCATGGCCTACCGAAGGGTGGTGTAGGGAACCACCGGCACGCGAAAGGCGATGTTGGAAATCGCCGGCAATGAAAGCATGGCCAAGTGGGCCATCACCAGCGCGAAGCATGGTGCACAAGACCATGGCGGCGAAAGGCAGTAGTAGCTTCATCGCCCCGAACCAACACAGGGGCTCCGCTACCAACTCGAAACAAAGGTAGGATCCTAGAGTGCATGTAAAGGTCACATGTGTGTGAACATGGTCTAGTGTGATACCAGGCTCTATGCGCACCTTTTTGGGCTGCTGTGTTGTGTCATGACAAGTACCTGGGTCAACCCGACTTGAGCCAGACACCGGTAGGTCAGGTGCATACCGAGTCCAGGAGCTACAAATAGTTTTTTGCTCCTACAAGTTGTAGTAATGTAGTAGCTTCTTGCTCCTAGTAGTAATGCCCTTGCTACTAGTAGCGATGCCAGGAGCTACTAATAGCTTCGTGCTCCTAGTAGTATTGCCGTCGGCCCTTGTTACTAGTAGCGATGCCCTTGTTACTAGTACCATTCAAAAGCCGTTTGCCGAGGCTCCGCTTTGCACTTCGCAGTCACCTCCATTCGGCCCTTTGTCAAAGAGTGCTCCGTCACCAGGTAGTTGGTGATGTTTTCAGGACGAAGACAATGCTAAGTTTCACATGCTCTGGTGAAGCAATCCAGGGACATCTAGGTTCATATAGGTTCTAAGTTCTATGTGCAAAACAACCAAGCAAACTATCCAAGACAACATGAGCAACTAATAGTTTATCTGAGCGACCTCGGCAAGAAGCTCCTGCTGTATCTTCAAACTGGAAAAGTTCAGTTCATGGTCACCAAAAAAGGACAGGAGCTGTTGCATTGTTCGATTGGAGCAACAGTGAGCGAGAACTTTCTGGCATGGGACAAAATTGTCATCATTGCGACCGTTAAGTTCAGCCGTTTCAGCAAAGTTTGCCCATGGAAATGGCTGAACTGGCAAAAGTACACCCAGGAACGGCGGAAACAGCTGAATCGGTGGACGATGTCTTCAGTCCTTTCCAGCTTCAGGATCCTTTGTCAAAATGGCACCCTGCGAGCCACTGACCCCGTAGCGAAAATCTCCATTGAGGTTCACAGCCTGGGAAGACAAGGAAGAATCAGCAGAAGGGGTACGTCCAAGAGGAGGTAGCTAAGTTGCTAGTAGCTAGGAAGCTACTAGGCTTGGATGCAGAAGAGCTTAGGCTTCTTCAAGGATGATTGATTTGGTTCCTAGAGTTCTTTGGAAACTCAACATGTCTTTTCTTTGCATTATACATTTATGATAAAGCTTGTGTGGTTCTCATTGCTTCCTACGCTGTCTCAGACTGTTTGCTGTCCAAGGCCCCCACAACCTTGGACCAAGCTGACCGAAGCCATTTTCCAGTCGAGGTATCTTGAGTGCCCAAAACACTTGTTACCACCCAATTGGTAACTTGTCGCCCTTGTTGTTCTTCTGAGTTTTCGCCTCACTGCTTCAATGGAAACGGAATCAAAGCTGAGAGTTCTTACAAGTTCTGTCTTTCATGCAGGCTGTCAATCGAAGCTTTCACCGCCTGAAGAGTCAACAGCGCTGTTGATGACAACTCCAAAGCTCGCATCACCTTTGAGCTTGGAGATCCTGATCACAAAACTTGTGGCACAAGAGCGCACAAAACCAGCACTTCGACCCAGCCACGGAGTCTGGAGCATGAAGTCGAAAACGGAAGAAGACAATACCTTCCACCCTGGGCGAAATTTTGAAGTTAAACTTCCTTTGTTGGTCAATGCACAGTCCAAAATTCGAAACAGGTAGGACCAACGGCGTCCCTGCTTCATCCTCTTGTATGGTCTTTGACAGTGCACGATGTTTTTTCTGTGTTGTCGTCCTCAAGTGCTCTACTTGTGTCTTTGTAAAGGTGTCAAATACCTTTTTCGCACCACGTATCCTACCCAGATGTGTTGGTCCCATTCATTTATTATTTGATTGGAGGTTGTGTGTGTGTGTGTGCGTCAAGCTGTGCTCCGTTGCTCCTCTACGTTGGAAACGGAGCAACGCTTCCAACGGCAGTAACTGAGCTTCTAGCTCCAACTCTTGCCACTCGCCCATTCTCTGCCCGTGACATTCCCCGATGCCCCCTGAATAGACAGAAATCAGCAAGTATACTGACCACTTCTGCTTTGCGTTTGGATGGACAAACACTTTATCTCCAAGTCGAATATTGAGAGCTATCCGAGAATCAAGTTGGCTTGCCTTCTCGTCCGGCGGATTAGGGGAAGAGCAAACCTCAATTGAGACAAATTCCCGGATGTACATATTATATATAAGATTGAAGCAGGAAACTGCATGAAACGATAATACAGTAAAGTAAAAAACATCCGCATCTGGGGCGAGAAACTGTGTAAGAATCACAACTCAAGCACGTCCCATTGGCATCCACCACTTTGATGCCACCCACTTCCGCAATAGAGGTGCTGGAGTTCACAAACGAGTCCTCGGCATTTAGGCCCTACACTGAGGCCAAAAAGCCCGGGTAAACGCGGCCTAGACGTTCCTGAGGCCGGTAGACGCTTTTGGTCGCAGCACTAAGCAATGCAGAGCAAGAGTCAGCTTTGAATTTCAGGACGAGTACTCTGGTATGTGTCGAAGGTGTCAAGGCTGATAGTCGAGAATTCACCATCTTTCCGCATAACACCTAAGAATGGAGAGAGCAGAGTCACTGCAACCAAGTTTGCATCCTTCAATGATCAGCGCAAATGCAATCAAGCTAAGTGTATCAATTGGACGGGCAACAAAGGCTTGATCCCCTACAAAAATTGGGACATGTGCGCATTGGTTGTAGCAATCGATTGTATTGCATGACAAATTAACAGTTTGTAGCTTGCAATAGGATGCAAACCAAGTGAGCTTGAATGGCCACAGTCCATACCAGTAGAGCCTCGGAATGAAGACAGTGTGCTGAGCAGCAAATCTCGCAATTGTTGGAAGTTACTTGAAATTTGAAAAAGCACACAAAAGCCTTACAATGTACACAAAAGTACATATTTTGGAGACAAAGCACTGCATTGAGGGGCATTACCTGCACGAGTCCAGGGTTGTGTCATGCTGTGTTCGTGCCACAAAAAGCACAAAACTAAGAGACACCCAAAAAGGACAAGAACAAAGCATGAAGCAAGTTGGTAGATCTTGCTAGCGTGGAGCCTGCCCGTAGGCAAGCTTGGAGCTGTTCCAATGGAACTAAGGCTCTTCCCTTCACAGGAAAAATGTCCTACGCGAGTCGGCACTCTTTGCGAGTCGCATGGATGCATACACCACAACTGAAGCACTATGGCGGTCCTGTGAACCTTCATTGGTTGCGCACTAGAGTATAGTGCTGCTGAACAACAATGCGTACCAGAAGACAGCCATCCCTGCCCAGCCATCTGCATAGCCAGGCTGGAAACCTGTTGCATATGCCTGATATACACTGATATAACATCAACTCATGCCACACTTGAGCTTCAAACTATACAAAACATGATGAAAGTGACTCCCTTTTCTGGCAACTCAGGTGGCGATGCCATCATAGCCACAAGCAATTTTCTATAAAACACATAGCGCGCACCGAATAGTTTCACAGGGAAATTACACATAAAATGCACCAGAAATGCATCATCTACACCTTGAATGAAAAAAGAAAAGTCGACTTAGCTGTTGTTGCCGACTTGGCCTACAGCTCATTTCACCTGCGTTAACTATTCGGACACTGAAACCTTTGTAGGTCAAGAGACAATCTCCAGACCACAAGAGCCCGAGATTGAGCACCATTCTTGCTCTCAGGGGTATCTAGATGAATGTATCTTTATTGCAACTACTGGTGAAGCAAAGGACATGAATAAGCTGATGCAAGCACAAAGTAAAGGATTCAGAAGGCCACAAAAAAATGAAAAAAAGAACAAGTATTGAATGACAAGGTGGCATGTAAGCGCCCCAATCTATGGTTTGCCATTGAGTGAAGTTGCACTTTGTTCAGACTTCCATCCGATTCAACTCACTTGGTCACAAAAAAGACTGCGCAAGTGATTCGGATTCCAAAGGCCGTCTCACGACTCTAGCGGGATTCCAGCCTGCACTTGTATGAACAGAGTCTTGACAAAGAAGCTGCAACACGGTTTGTATCCGTAAGTATTTACTTAGGAGTGTGGATTCTGGATTCTTTGCTTACTAATAGGTAGATGAGGAGTAGCAATGAGTAGTAGTACAGAACGATTAAATCGTGCTCTTGCCTTTTCCCTCTCAATGTTCTCGTAATACATCAGAAATTTTTCAATGGGGCCAAACTTGCTTCTGTTCCAACCATCCTTAGTTGCTGCAGAAAATGAAGCACCAACGCAATACGATCACAAACACTAGTTTGATGGCCAAATACTGACACATCTTCTGGTTGCACGTAGCTTAGCAGTCAAACCAAAAACAATGTGGTGAGCATACATTCGTCCAAAATGCCTCTGTTCGAGCCATCAGCTTGTGGTTGATGATGTTGAGCTCGACAATTGTCTCCCCAAACCGGTAAAAACCCCGATTGATCCTGCCCATTGAAATGCATAGAACCTTTGCAGATTCCGTTGTTTTTTTCAAAAGAGCCAGCAACATCCACAGGCAGCTCCTCTGAAAGGGAATGGCTGAGCCTGTTCCGTTGTAGAACTCTTCCAATCGAAGATCAATCAGGTCGTCCTTCCGCAGTCCAAGCATGCAGAATATGCAACACTGTCACTTCTTGATTCACACATAAGCCTCTGTGCAAAACGAACTGTTATGTTTCTAGCACGTGAAATATGCGCCATAATTGGGTTATGACATATGTCACATATCATACGCCCGAGAGTAGTGCCCAAAAAGGGATACGAACACAATACGTATGCACTCAGACTACCTCAAATTGTCTCTCGCAGCCATACTCCCAAGTTGATGACAATGGTGGGGAGGGGCTGTTGGTCTCAGAATTGATAAAGGTCTGTTATTCACTGGAAGTGCTACGATGGTGACATACAAGTAGTCTGACAAACCAACTGAATTAAGTGAGGAGGCAGGGCCACGGGCCAAAAAACATAATTACAAACACCGGCTTTCAAAGTGCTGAGTGCTGCCCTCACATACCAGGATCTATTGTCCTAGTTTGGTGCCACAGACCTCCTCGCTAGTGCACAACCACTATGATTGTCTGCCCCAAACGAATCAACAAGGTTATCCCTTGGACGCCCATGCTCTTTCCAGGTTTCGGCTTCAGTCTTATGTCCTACGACCGCTCTTCAAATTGGTCATCGTTTCGCTAACTTTGGCGGTTGCTCAAAGGTGCCAATACATGTTCTATCTTTGGGTGACGCAATTCCCTCATCTAGTATCATCTAGTCACAAAAAGTGAAGGCGTTGCATCACCAGCTCTGGCTGTTTTTCCCTCTGGCCTTGAGCACACCATAGAAATAAAAGTTGCTACCGATCCATATTTGCAAAGCACTGACATCAGTCAACTCCAGTGTAAGGGCGCTGGGCTGGGCGGAGGTTGGTGCACATGTTCCTGGGGTCCCGAGAAACATTTTCGAAAGAGTGGTCGCTGTTTTGCAGTAAGTTGAGAGTGGAAGGCAGTTGGCAAACCACTTGCAGTTGAACAGTGCATTGGAGTGTTCATTGCACGTTTGTCGACAGTTGCAGCCTTGCTTGGTCCTGGAGTCAATGGTGGGTACATTGTAACTAGAGCCCCCTCAACTACTACTGTTCCTACCAGCACCTTCACAACAACGCAAGTTGAACAAGCAATTCAAAGCACATCTGCGTGCATAGAGACAAATGACTGGAGGGTGGTTTTAGAGAGGTGTAAATAACCGAAAGCTCTTTTATATTACATGTACTACGGTATACAGTATATATTCATTACATATGTTTATATGCTCTAAAAAAGAGAAAGGAAGACGCGAGGCTCCTGGTCCAAGGCTTCGTATGGCACAGAGGGCTGCGATTGAGAGACTTTACGAAATCCGCCACTCCCAATCTGCCAGACCGGGGACGTGCTGCTGTATGAATGAAAGTTCAGCGATGCAAATGAAAATACTTCTAAAAATATGATGTTTTTTGTCAAAGCTGTCTGGCAAGGATGGCCACTGTCCAAACTACACCTGCCTTTTCTCTTGCTTTGACCTCCACAAGTGCTTCGCAAAAAAATGCAACTCACTCAGTGCTTAATCCACGGCTTCCAAAGGAACAAACAAGTAATTGCTAATTACTCAAAACAAATGTGCCCTTCCAGCAGAAACCCCAAAACAAGTTTGAAACCCCAAAACAAGTTTGGCAAAGTAAAACAAGACTGCGGCAAGTGCCTCTAGGACCCTAGGATTTGGAGCAGTTTCGTTTCAACGATGTGTTGGTTCCTGTGGAGCAGCAGCCTTTATCGCCAAATACCAAAAACAAACAGGCTGCTTAGCGCCCTTTGGGGTCACAGAGCGGCGAGGAGCAACACGACGCAAGTAGGCTATGGCAAGTTAGGCAGCCAACAATTGCTTTTGCCTGTTCACTGCCGTTCTGAAGGTGAAGGGTTCAATCGGCGTGAAAACAAACCCCGCCAAAGTGCTTGCAGTCCACCATGCCATTTTGCAGCTTATGGTTTGCAATCTCTTCATCATGCCGCTCACAAGTGTCGCCTTTTTGACAGTGGATGGAAGCTTTATTCCAGCCTCCAAACATGGTAAAACGAAGCCACATGCCAAAGAAAGTGAGAGCCGGGCAATGCCAATGGAACTCAAAACAAAAGGACGGACCTAAGCACAGTTCCCTGCTCCGTATCAGGATTGTTTTCTTGTTTGATGCGTTGCTGCCTTTGAAAGCGCACTCTGAAGTTCCTGAAACTGCTGTCAGAAACAAGAAAATGTTCTTGTCGAGAACATGTGAAAGAAAAAATGTGCTTTGCTGTTCTTCCAAAGCTAATGTTTTTGGTTTATTTCGATACAATGTCACGATTTCAAGCTTGCGCTCCTTGATCTCTTGATCCTTGCCCTTCAGAATATCCTCTAACTCCGCTACTCGCTGCTGCAATGCCTCACGAAACACAACTTGCCACGGAAACTCGGCAACCTTTGTCACCGCTGGATCAAGCAAGCCTGCTCCCGTGAGCCACTTGCAACGGGCATCGCCCTGATACAGCCAGGCCAGGCATGCAAGTCTATAAAAATGTATGTTTATGCCAACTCCATTAAACGTGTTTGTTGCGAATTGCCAAAATAGAGGACTGGATAACCCCGCACGTGAAGTTGTTCCATCAGTGGAAGGATGGAGTGAACAGAAAAGACATGAGAAAGCAGGAATGTATGGATGAGAAGCGTAGATGCGAAGGAGAGTGTCGATGAGTGAGTGAATGAGTGCGTGAGTCAGCGTGAGTCAGTGATTAGGAAAAAAATCCGAGTAACATGATTCAATGTTTCAACAGCGAATTGTTCAAAAAGCTGCGTCGCAAACGGAAGATACAGTACACACGCAAAAGAAGCAGGGAGAGAATCTCTCCCTGCCTTTCTCTGTGTCCTTGCCTCTCCAAGCGATAGTTCTGCTGACGCGCCATTGTCAGCTTGGGCGGCTGGCGCTCTGAATGGCAGGTTCTGCTTGACGAAAAAACGTATCCAAACGCCCAAACCGACTAACGGGCGTCACCAGAAGTGAGTAAGAGTGAGTTGAGCGCAAAAGTGGGTGTGTACGTGGTTTGTGTGAGTTGAAGTGAGTGTAAGTGGGTGAGTGTAGCAGGGTGAGTGCAAGTGAGGAGCAAAGGAAGCAAGAGGAGCGGAGGAGAAGGAGAAAAGGCAGACTGGATGCAGAGTAAAAGTAAAATCCCCACACAAAGATTTGTGGACAACAAAACAAAAACACCACAGGAAACTAATTGCAGCAAACAACTAGTGCAATGATTGGCCTGGGGCCTAAGCCTGATGTTTGAATCGAAACTCAATTTTAGACACTGGAGCAGGGAAAACAATTGAGACTCATGTATGTGCGTGTCATTTAACCCATAGTTCAGTGATGTCTAGATGGGGGCGTTCTGAGGGCATTTGTCTGTGACGTTGTCTTTGAAGCTTTGGATTTGTGAATTGTGTCAAGTGCAACACTTCCCCCCGTCTTGGCCGCCACCGGTCTTGCCATTGAGAATGTGTGAAGTTTTTTGCAGTATTGTAGATGGCCACAGCAGTTGGTTCAATGAGGCCCAAAGCAAAATCTCAAATATCACTATATCACCACCTTGAATTCTTTTGAGGCTGTGTGGTAGGACAAATACCCTGTTCACAAATACCTATGTGCGTCGTCAGGCTGAAGATGATGGTTGTGGCACTTGTCACAAGGTTTTCCCTAGGCATGTGGCATTGATTCGCCATTGCACTCAGTACTCTGTCAAGTGCGAAGACCACTTAGAGCACATAGAGGCTCATTTCCCACCTCAACCAGGACGACAGAGAGTGTTTCACAAGATCAAGGCGCCTGCCATTTAAGCAAAAAGGCCGATCCCTGCCCAGCTCCACACACGTGCACCTTTCGCATTGCCAAAGTGGTTAGATTCCAGATAGCTCGGAGGAGGATTTCATCGGGTCTCCCACCTGATAGACCAGTTTCGTAAGGTGCTCTGCACAAATACATTGCATGCAGATGACGTCTCGCATCTAATGCGGTGCTATCTTAACAAGATGAACGAGACAAATTTGATGTCCGTAGAGGGCATGCTATCATCGAAGTTGCGTCAAAGTACAAGGCAAGCTGGCTTTTCCAAGTCGTGGTAAGAAGCAGGTGCGCATGCTGTAGAAGTAGAAGGTGCTTACCTGACCCAGATGTCCAGACCCAGATTTCCCATTTTAGCCAAGTGCAGAGCCAAGTGCAGTCATGGGAGTGCAATGCCCGTCGCAGTATGCCGGGCAGAGATGTGATATGTTTACACCTGTTTATCTTCTTTTTGGCTCGGGGGGGAAGGCCGCTAGGGAGGGAGAGGTAGCTAGTACCTGCAAGTAGCTACGCACTAATGATTTGGTTTCTAGGTTTTTAGGGAAACTTGAGTTTTGCATTGTCTGCAAAAATTGTCATCAGTGATCAGCGATGACTGACACTCAGCAGAAACTCCTCCATGGCTTTATGGACAAGTGATGGTGCTTTCCCAGCAAGCTGCATTTGATGCAGATCAAGTCAGCATGTGGGAACTTCTTGTCATACAACTTCTGATGGCTTTCCAGAGAGTGAGGACAGTCACCAGCACATCCAAGAATGTACATCTTTGCAATGCAAGGTATTAAATAATTAAGTAAATCTAGATTGTTGCCAAACCATCTGACTGAGGATCTTCATTGCTCTGCCCAGATTTTGTTGCAAGTCTTCAGGTTTTACCACTTGGTCGGGGGAGAGACTCTGGGGTGTTTGTTTGCGTTTTTTGTGTTTGCCGGTGGTTTTGCTGCGTGGTCTTTGAGACATTGACTGAAGGGCCGTGCCTCACCCAATGGGCAAATAATGGTTGGCAAAGTTCTGTGGTGATATCTCAATTGGATCCCTATCAACTGTCAACTTTCAATGAAACCCCCTCTTGCAAATGAGAACTTCAGCAGCCTCCTTCAGAGCTCGCTTTCGTGACAAAGAAAGGCAAACAAGTTGCAAGCATCCATAAAGCAACAAAAATGCTATTCTGACCTGGTGTTGACAGTCTGTGCAGGTGACAAAGCCTCGAAGTTACCTTGGCAATTAAAAGGCTCGTTTTCCAACACCCTCGCGATAGACTCTGGCAAGTCTCAGTGGCAGACCAAGGCTAGAGCCCTGAGTGTCATGAGACCCAAGAATCCAATCTGTTGAACTAAGTGACTAGTGGTGTTCTTGTTACTAGTAGCGATGCCAGGAGCCCCTAGTAGCGTAGCGTTCTTGCTCCTAGTAGTAATGCCAGGAGCTACTAGTAGCTTCTTGCTAGTAGCGTTCAGAATAAAACTTACACCTGGGACGGCCAAGGTTCATTGGTCCAGTTGCCCCCGAGGAATCAACGGAAGAGACGACTGCAGAATTTCTGGGGCCGCAGCGCCAGGGCGTTGTGCCAACTGTAAGCTTCCCTGCCCTGGGCGTATCTGGCCAAGCTGGGCCGGGGCTGCCTGCGGAGCATACCTCCAGACTTGAGCATCATTCTTTGTGATCCACGGAGCTGGAAGATTTGGGCTCTGGCCCGCAAGGTCCCTGCATTGAATTTATTCCAGCCTTATCGCAGTTTGCGGAGCAAGTGTCAAGCCACTGAAATGCTTCGCTGCAATCAAGGTTGCTGCCGCCACACCGCCAGCGTATGAAGCGCCTGCAAACTCCGTTGGAAAATGACCAGCTCTAAAACCCATGCAAAAGAAAGGTTGCGGTTGATACTTCAAGTGTTGATTAAATGTCAAGTTGACGCCTTGTAATTATAAATTGATCAAATTTGAGCAAACAATTTCGAAGCCACAGTCGTGTGCTCACTATGAGTGGGCAAAGGAGCACAGAGCACAGTGTCCAAACGAAAGATGCAAAACCTGCGTAGTGACCAAGAGAGTTTGAAACAGCCAACAGAACGACCTGTAATCTAGAGCAGGCCAATGGTTGGAAAAGTATAGCTCGACAAGCCAAGGCTCTGCGTGGCTGTCCCATCTATGCTCCATGTTCTATTCAATAGAAACCGTACCCGTCTAGCGATGGCAAACGGAACTTGCATAATTTGAGCCACACCTTGCACATTCTATAGACAGGAACAAGTACTTGTGTTCAAGCCAAACATGGCAGTACTTTGGCAGGCCGCTGATCCACGTTGCTCAGCTTCGAGAGTGTTGCGAAAGGGTCATTGTCGAATGCGCCAGCCAACGTATGTATTCAACCTAGCAGCGATGGCCTCCAACCTAATAGCGATTTCATGTCAAGCCCACCCCCTCTCAATTCTTCTGCTTGCTGGAGTAAAGGCTATGCCATGCATATGAGTCGCAACAACGTGCTGGCTTGCCCAAAGACAACGGCGGCATAGGGTAGTATAGGTGCTCAAGAGCTACGACACTGAGAGGGCCCTCCCAAAAAAGTAACTTGCATTTGTGTAAAAGAAGATTTCAAAGCAACAGTTGTTGACCTTGTGGCATTGGCGGACGCATCTGCATCATTGGTTGGCTCCCAACCTGCGCATCAAACAAGGGACAACGGCTCGGTGGCTTTGGCGGATCAGCTTTTGTGTAGCTCAGCCACATCAGCCGCGTGCAAACCACCCCATTTCTCACCCAAGCTCCACCCTTTGAGTCTGCTGAACCTCCAAACTGCACACCTGCAAAAAAGGTTTAAAGATGCCCAGTCTTTCAAACGAAGGGCACTTACCTGAGCAGTTGAATCAAGAACTGCCTTGTCAGATTGGACCAGTAGAATGGATGAGACACCCGCCAGTTCCGTTCAGTTGCAGTATCATATCTGTTCAAGCTAACAATGGGATTCAAGGCAGCTGCTTGGCAGCCAAGGAGGTTGCACTCTTAGATCAAAAAAGAACTTGCTCAAGCCTCTGATGTTTTAGAAACTTGCCTTTACTGCATGCATGTCATCGGTTGCTTTCCAGCCAATATCTAAATTCTGGAAACTCTTGGTGGGTGTTCATCGACTGCTATCTGTCGGCAACTCAACGCCAGACACGCACATCACGAGTGTCAAAGCTGCAGCTATTCGCCTTAAGGGATCCGGGAATCTGGTTCAACAAACCCAAGATCGTGAGTTCCTCTTTATCGGCTGCAAAACTTAGAGCAAGGAAGCACTCCGATTGCATCCGTCAATATGCGTTGAAGGTTGGCTGCCTGCATGATGAAATTTTCACCAAGCAGCTTTTCGAGATAGGTTCTGCGGGTACTTCCAGCGCTTCCAGCTCCTTTGGTTTGCAATGTGCTTTGGTCGGGCATTCCAAGGTGACACAAAAACCAATCAGGCTCAGGACACATTCAAATGTTCCAAGATTAGTTTCTATATCATATCTACAAAGATATTGTTGTATGTGCTTTAGTTCTAGACCATTAACTACCCACCAACAAGAGAGCCCCCCCTTTCTTAAGAATACAAACTCCTGCACGCTCAAGACCACCCCCAGTGTCAAAATGGACAGGACCTTACAAACAGGGCATCACAATGCCATCTGCTTGTAGGCAATGTGATGCCAATCTCTCTCTCTCTCTCTCCCCCCTCCCTCCCTCTCTCTCCCTCCCTCTCTCTCTCTGTCTCTCTCTCTCTCTCTCTCTCCCTCTCTCTCGCTCTCGCTGTCTCCAAGTCAGCAACAATGCTCAAAGACAGCATCACTGGAACCTGAACTGGTCGTGATGTTGCAGTGAACCTGCTAAGTGCAACGTCCAGCACCTCAATGATATTAAAGTAGTCCACAACCTCAGCTTCCATAGTTCACAGTTGATCAATGAGAAATGTTGTCCTCTTTCCAATTCTTCCCTACTTCTTTATATATATATATATACATATCCCTCGCGCTCTTTTCCGCAGTCACAAGAACTCCCACCCCTGAGT